GTAGTTGGCGGTGTGGGGGTTGATGATGTGGTAGGTCCTGTTGTTGTAATAGGCTTTGTGGTCGTTGCCGGTGTAGGGGTTGATGATGTGGTTGATGCTGTTGTTGTAGGCTTTGTGGTAGTTTTTGGTGTAGGGGTAGATGATGTGGTGGATTCTGTTGTTGTAGTAGGCTTTGTGGTAGTTGTTGGTATAGGGGTAGGTGATGTTGTTGATTTTGTTGTAGTAGGCTTTGTGGTAGTTGTTGGTGTAGGGGTAGATGATGTGTTAGGTTCTGGTGTTGTTGCTGTTGTTGTAGTAGTAGGCTTCATGGTTGTTGGTGTAGGGGTAGGGGATGTGGTTGATTCTGTTGTTGTAGTAGGCTTTGTGGTAGTTGTTGGTGTAGGGGTAGATGATGTGGTGGATTCTGTTGTTGTAGTAGGTTTTGTGGTAGTTGTTGGTATAGAAGTAGGTGATGTGGTTGATTCTGTTGTTGTAGTAGGCTTTGTGGTAGTTGTTGGTGTAGGGGTAGATGATGTGGTGGATTCTGTTGTTGTAGTAGGTTTTGTGGTAGTTGTTGGTATAGAAGTAGGTGATGTGGTTGATTCTGTTGTTGTAGTAGGCTTTGTGGTAGTTGTTGGTGTAGGGGTAGATGATGTGGTGGATTCTGTTGTTGTAGTAGGTTTTGTGGTAGTTGTTGGTATAGAAGTAGGTGATGTGGTTGATTCTGTTGTTGTAGTAGGCTTTGTGGTAGTTGTTGGTGTAGGGGTAGATGATGTGGTGGATTCTGTTGTTGTAGTAGGTTTTGTGGTAGTTGTTGGTATAGAAGTAGGTGATGTGGTTGATTCTGTTGTTGTAGTAGGCTTTGTGGTAGTTGTTGGTGTAGGGGTAGATGATGTGGTGGATTCTGTTGTTGTAGTAGGTTTTGTGGTAGTTGTTGGTATAGAAGTAGGTGATGTGGTTGATTCTGTTGTTGTAGTAGGCTTTGTGGTAGTTGTTGGTGTAGGGGTAGATGATGTGGTGGATTCTGTTGTTGTAGTAGGTTTTGTGGTAGTTGTTGGTATAGAAGTAGGTGATGTGGTTGATTCTGTTGTTGTAGTAGGCTTTGTGGTAGTTGTTGGTGTAGGGGTAGATGATGTGGTGGATTCTGTTGTTGTAGTAGGTTTTGTGGTAGTTGTTGGTATAGAAGTAGGTGATGTGGTTGATTCTGTTGTTGTAGTAGGCTTTGTGGTAGTTGTTGGTGTAGGGGTAGATGATGTGGTGGATTCTGTTGTTGTAGTAGGTTTTGTGGTAGTTGTTGGTATAGAAGTAGGTGATGTGGTTGATTCTGTTGTTGTAGTAGGCTTTGTGGTAGTTGTTGGTGTAGGGGTAGATGATGTGGTGGATTCTGTTGTTGTAGTAGGTTTTGTGGTAGTTGTTGGTATAGAAGTAGGTGATGTGGTTGATTCTGTTGTTGTAGTAGGCTTTGTGGTAGTTGTTGGTGTAGGGGTAGATGATGTGGTGGATTCTGTTGTTGTAGTAGGTTTTGTGGTAGTTGTTGGTATAGAAGTAGGTGATGTGGTTGATTCTGTTGTTGTAGTAAGCTTAGTGGAAGCTGTCGGTGTAGGGGTAGATGATGTGGTTGGTTCTGTTTTTGTGGTAGGCTCTGTGGTAGTTGTTGGTGTTGGGGTAGATAATGTGGTAGGTCCTGTTGTTGTAGTAAGCTTTGTAGTAGATGTCGGTGTAGGGGTAGATGATGTCGTAAGTCCTGTTGTTGTAGTAGGCTTCGTGGTAGTTGCCGGTGTAGGGGTGGATGATGTGGTTGATGCTGTTGTTGTAGTAGGCTTCATGGTAGGGTTCGTGGTAGTTGTTGGTGTGGTGGTGGATGATGTGGTAGGTCCTCTTGTTGTAGTAGGCTTTATGGAAGTTGTTGGTGTAGGCGTGGATGATGTGGTTGATTCTGGTGTTGGTGTTGTTGTAGTAGGCTTCGTGGTAGTTGTTGGTATAGGGGTAGATGATGTGGTTGATGATGTTGTTGTAGTAGGCTTTGTGGAAGTTGTCGGTGTAGGGGTAGATGATGGGGTAGGTCCTGTTGTTGTAGTAGGCTTCATGGTAGTTTTCGGTGTAGGGGTGGATGATAGGGTAGGTCCTGTTGTTGTAGTAGGCTTCGTGGTAGTTGTCGGTGTAGGGGTGGAAGATGTGGTTGATTCTGTTGTTGTAGTAGGCTTCGTGGTATTTGTCGGTGCAGGGGTAGATGATGGGGTAGGTCCTGTTGTTGTAGTAGGCTTTGTGGTAGTTGTTGGTGTAGGGGTAGATGATGTGGTTGATTGTGTTGTTGTAGTAGGCATTGTGGAAGTTGTCGGTGTAGGGGTGGATGATGTGGTTGATTCTGGTGTTGGTGTTGTAGTGGGCTTCGTGGTAGTCGTTGGTATAGGGGTAGATGATGTGGTTGATGCTGTTGTTGTAGTAGGCTTCATGGTAGTTGTAGGTGCAGGGATAGATGATGGGGTAGGTCCTGTTGTTGTAGTAGGCATCGTGGTAGTTGTTGGTGTAGGGGTAGATGATGGGGTAGGTCCTGTTGTTGTGGTAGGCTTCGTGGTAGTTGTCGGTGTAGGGGTGGATGATATGGTTGATGCTGTTGTTGTAGTAGGCTTCGTGGAAGTTGTCGGTGTAGGGGTGGATGATGGGGTAGGTCCTGTTGTTGTAGTAGGCTTTGTGGTAGTTGTTGAAGTAGAGGTAGATGATGTGGTTGATTCTGTTGTTGTTGTTGGTGATGATGGTGACGTACATATGTAACAACAGTAAACTCGTATTTCATAGTCAACACATTTATAGGGGCGGTGAGTTTGGGTTTTTTTTTTACACATCAATCCATATGAAACATTGCATTGGGCAACTTGATTTGTTGACTGAATATAATCTTCAAAGCTCATGTGAGGTGCGCCCACAGCTCTACATTCAATATGTTCTGGCTTTTCACAGATCTTTATTCCACTTCTTGCAATGTTTCCATAAGTCTCTAAGTCGTCATATCCCCCTAATGCAGGATTATATACATTAATCCAGTCAGACCACTCACATATAATACATGGTGACGTAGTCTCAGCTGTTGTTGATGAAAATGGGGTAGTTGTTGGTATAGGGGTAGATGATGTGGTAGGTTCTGGTGTTGGTGTTGTTGTAGTAGGCTTTGTGGTAGTAGTTGGTATAAGGGTAGATGACGTGGTTGATTCTGGTGTTGGTGTTGTTGTAGTAGGCTTTGTGGTAGTTGTTGGTATAGAGGTAGATGATGTGGTTGATTCTGGTGTTGTTGTTGTTGTCATAGGGGTAGATGATGTGGTTGATTCTGGTGTTGGTGTTGTTGTAGTAGTAGACTTTGTGGTAGTTGTCGGTATAGGGGTAGATGATGTGGTAGGTTCTGGTGTTGTTGGTGTTGTTGTAGTAGGCTTTGTGGTAGTTGTCGGTATAGGGGTAGATGATGTGGTTGATTCAGTTGTAGTAGGCTTTGTGGAAGTTGTTATAGGGGAAGATGTTGTTGTTATCACTGGACATTCCTCCACACAGATCTGATTTTTCTCATCAAAAATTGGCTTATCCTCAGGACATTTTGGATAACATCCTGCAATAAATAAATAAATAAATAAATAAATAAATAAATATTGTACTAAAATTATGACCAAGAAGGGCCAAATTTCCCTCAAACACTCCTTGTTATATTACCAAGTTCTAAAACACCCTAAATGCCATATTGATCATTTTTAAGCTATTAAGGCAACTTCTTACTTTTGCTTAATATAAAACGTACACTTCACACTTATATACTGTGGTCAACCATCTGTCTGTATCTGTTTATCAATTAGATGTCTACTAGGGTTGGGCCGATAGATGATGCCATCGTCCATCGCCGATGGCTGACAGACATCACGATGTTGAGCCGGCATCGTGAATCGCACCCCCCCAAATCCGCCCACATCTTAATAACACAATATCGCCCAGTGCTTTCAATTTCCATGCAGTTACTTCAAATAATTATTTTTTTTCCTGAATACATAATAATAACATAATGAAGTTGTTCCTGATCACAATACAAATTACATTCAAAACAGTTCAATGACCACAGTTAAAAAAGATTTTATTGTGCAAAAACGCCAAACAAATTATAGGCTAGATGTTTTACACGAAGTAAAAACAGCAACAAAATTCAAAATTATTTAAAATTAAATTAGATTAAATAGGCTAGAACATGCGGGTCAGATCGTGGGTGTTGGATAATAAATATGTTACAAAAAAATTAAAATAGCCTAATAATAATTCAATTTAATGTTTTAATCCTCTCACCAGCCACTTCCGCACAGCTTTCAAAGTAAACTCAACCGCGTATGAGTGCGGATGGACGTTCTTGACACGTGCAGTATCACCTACTTGACTCGCTCTGTCTCAACATTCACCTTGTGTCTGCACTGTTGTACATGGACCGTCCGCTCGGTCACAAAAATTGGGCTGCACGTGGAGGAAAAAAATTGGTCTGCTCTGCACGTGTACGAAAATCCCCCCTTACCCGATATCATCGTCCATCATGATGTTGCACTGTAGACATCGTCAGATGCCAATTTGGTAGATATCGCCCAACCCTAATGTCTACCACTACATTAAGTCTGTAGCGCCTTTTGGTTGAAAACATGTAAAACTCAAAAACCATATATGTCTGTACACAGCAGGCTACATATGGTGCTTTGATCCTTCAAAAACAGTGACTAAATACATTAAGCAATGTTAAGCTCCCTTAACATTGCCCATAATGGGCTGTTATGCAGGAATAAATGCTTAATGTACAAATATTGTCTTTACTTGTAGATTGCGGAGTTGTTTTGGAACTAGAAAGTGTTTAAGAAAGAGAAGTGCGAGAGATAGAGATAGATATTGGTATAATTACTTAAGTTTACATTCTTAAAACATTCTTAACTAGTTACCAGAAATTAAATATAATGATTTTACAACAATATAACAAAAACATTTTCTATTATTTTCCACCAAAAATGTTGTTCATTAATGTTTTTGTTCCTTGAACCATTTCTAATCCCAGTTTATCACTAAATATAAGGTCAAGAAATATCCAGTATGCATACTCAGTCTTCAAACATGCAAACTAGTGTGCACCGAATGACAACTCACCTTCCAGGTTGGGTAAACTGTTATTGCAGGTATTAGGGTTGAGACAGGTTTTGTAGCAAGGTGTATGACAAGGACTGTAATGCCATGTGCAATCATCTGTTCCATTATTGTAGTAGTCACAGTACACAGCTGATATGGAAACATGGATATAAGTATGAACATGTACAGTTGAACTAAATGAAATACAATAAAACTGCAATACATTGTTGAAAGAAAGAAATCACTTAAAGCAACGATCAGGCAATGAATTCATTCACATTATCTTTTTTTTTTGTGAAAACTAGCTGAAGATTCAGAATCTACATGAAAATCACATTTAAAGATTACAGAATAAGTTGCGCACTAGAATTAAAGATGCTTACGACAGATCTCAGGTGTTCTCCAGTTCACACAAACACCTGCCTCATTGCAGGCTTGAGCATAAGCTGCAACAGCTGTACAGAAGCACTCACAATCTCCACCTGTGTCACATGCACACGAGTCCTTCACACAGTTCTCATAAAATGGGTTTTGATCCACCTGTGGGAACAAGCATTCCCATCCTTAAAAAATATGTAGGTTTCTTGTATACCACATTATAGTCAATAACTCCATAACTCCATTTATTGACTCAAAAGTCTTTGCAACTGTACCTTGTTATGGCAGTCTTTGAATGGACCCTTGATATCCTTGATGATGCTACATTGTATTTTTGCCCATGTCTCTCGATTGGGGGTCTCAAAGCATGGATTAAAGTCTGGTTTTGCATCCGGGCAATTACTTGACACTTTCCAGCTGTCCACAAACTCCATTATATTTGTAGTTGGCAAATTTCCCTGAGTGGTAAAGTCATCTTTTGCATTTCCATTGAAATTTCCACAAAGGCCACAAACGTCTTCCTGTGAAAAAACAACAAAGCACAGATGTTACGCTACAAATAAATCAAATTCAGGGACTGTTGTAAATTGTCTGGAAGTGTCCGTTCAAAACATGAAAAAACTGCATTATTCATGACTTCAACTCACCATGTGCTGAGGTTGCAGAATGATGCGGACGGTGGTTTTGTGGTCCCACAAAACTGTCAGTCCAATGTTAGCATCAATGACAAGGTACATCCCAACGTTTCTCTCAGTGTACTTGATCTCTGGACCACTTCCAGTGTCAGTGGCTGTTACAGTCCCATCAGAAAGCAGCAGTAAAGACCTCTGAGTGAGAGAGAAGTAAAAAAAACAATAGCAAACATTGCAATCCAGTGACTGACTTTGACTCTATATTGCTTTCAAATGTTGAAGAAGATGAGGGGAAAATCCTTCATTGGCCTTTTAAATGTAAAATTGCGTGCACTATTATTGTCTTATACCACGCGTAAAAATAACGTTAACATGCCGAACAGCTTGCTTTAGTATTTCATGACCCTTAAAAAAAAACGTATTTTTCTCTGAATGTACCATAGTATTGAATGCTTTGCTAAATATAAAACTACATAGCATGAGACCTGCGCCTGTGGCCTTACCCCCAAAAGTATCTTGACAGCCTTTGAACATGTGGTTCCTGTTGTTCCACAAGGCATATTCTCAGTGATCACATGAAATGTGCCAGTTTTATTTACACACTTGTTCTGCAAAACAAGAGAATGCGACTTGTTGCCTCCTGAAGGAAGAGCTTTATTTGTAATTTTATTTAAATAAAGCCTCTGTCAAAATGCACATACCTGAGCAGCAATATAACTGCAGTCTCCCCTGAAGCCGAATGTTTGCTGATCAAAAGTTCTATAATGTCCGCTGCCGTATATGGTGCATATTCCTGGACACTTATAATGTGTACATTTCCAATTTCCCTGTCGGCAAGTACTGTAAATATAGAGGTAGACTCAAATCTTCTGTGTTCTACAGTATTATGCTATTGATCATTAAAGGCCAGGTTGTATTTCCTCATTACTTAGGGGTTCCCTTTCATGGGAACTTCGAACTGCGTCCTCTAGGGGGAAAGCGGTTATGAGAAGATGCCCCTATAGAGAGACGCTGACCAGCTATCTCTCTATGGGTGAGACGTCCTCTTTGAAGACTCCCTCCTTGACATCTCGCTCTAATGCCAGGGCATACGCAGCAGCAGCAGGTCGGGCTGTCGTTTCATTGCACACGATGGTGATGCTCCAAGCATATCAGGCTGACCTGCTGAAAGACCTGGATGAAGGCGAGGGCCTTTCTCCTGATGAGGTAGCTGAGTGCGCCGCACTACGGATCTTGCTCTCCGTGCTACTAAGCAGCAGCTATGGTAGTGACAGAGGGACATCTGTGGGTGAACCTAGCAGATATCGGGAAAAAAGAGAGGGGCTTTCTTCTCGATGCGCCGGTTTCGCCTTCCGTATTTTTGGTACCTCCGTTGAGACGGTGGTCGAGAAGTTCAGGGAGGCAAAGGCACGCTCAGCGGCCTTCAGTCCTTCATTTCACGATGGTCCAGGTCTAAGCCCGAGCAGCATAGGGGTCCTGGTCCGTCTCGGTCTGAGGATCAGAGATGGCCACAGAAGGCTAGTGCCGTGGCTCGCGCTCCTCCCCCGCCTGCGGGTAGGGGTTAGAAGGAATCGCGGGTCAAAGGGAGGTAGGCAAGACCTAGGGATGTGATCCAGACAAGGCATCAGCACTTTTGTCCGGATCAAAGTGATACTTGAGTATCTACTCGTTTCCTTCGG